AGACACAATAAGGCCAGACGAGGCCCTCAAAGATCTGCAGTGCAGCTGGTGTCCCTCTCTGTGTTCTGAGGGTGCAGCCTCCTAGAAACTACAGGTCTGAGCATGCGATGCACCCTCTTGCTCTGAGTGGTTGGCTGCAGGGCACTCTGGGGAGCCTAGTCTCTGTGGGCTACACATGAGGACATCTGCAATCTGCTCTATTATATGCCCAATAGATTCAGCCCTTGGGCTTCTTGCACAGTCGTTGGCAAGGCAGAGTCTGATGTCCTTGGAGGAGAACCTAGAGCAGTGGTGGACAGTCTGCAGGCTGCACACGGCCTGTCAGGGTAATCCGCTGGCGGGACGCAAGACAGTATTTACATTGACCGTCCACAGGTTGGTTGCAGTTTGCCGTTGCAATCCAATGGGAGCTGCAGGAAGCAGCACAGGCCGCAGGGACATGCTGGCCGCTGCTTCCTGCAGCTCCCATTGGCTGGGAATTGGCTGGAGAAGCCACCAAGATGTTGGCTACCCTTGAGGCAGACTTGCTGCAGCCAAGTCGCCGTGCTCCAAGTGGTTCTGTGGAAAGCTCCTCATTGCATGTGCTTGTGCCTAGTGGATATGTGATTGCCTCCCCAATGCCTGGAGGAATGGGCGACTTCAGTGTGAAGGCTGAAGGCCTTTCCTGCATCACCTGCTATCCGTTGGGTTTAATTGTTTGGGCTGTGTCGCTGGGTGCCCATCACTGTCCAGTGGAAGGAAGGAAAACAGCCCCCTGCTCCCTGCCCCACAGGAACTAAAGGCTCAGAGTAACAGCCGTGTTAGTCTGTATTCGCAAAAAGAAAAGGAGTACTTGTGGCACCTTAGAGACTAACCAATTTATTTGAGCATGAGCTTTCGTGAGCTACAGCTCACTTCATGAAGCATCTGCACATCAATAGGCTTGGGTCTTTGAATAGGAAGGAAGTTCCCAATCCAGGCCCATTTAATCGACTGGCAGGAGGGAGGCTATTGTTTGAATGGTCTCCAGATGTTGTGTAGAGAGGGCAGGGATCAGTTCTCAGTTATTTGCCAGCAAAGACAGAGATGAAAAGTGGGCTGGGCCTGTGAGAGGGTCTGGTTGGGCCACCCTAATTGGGGGTGGGGGGTCAGCTTGGGCTTGTGTGGGCAGGACCCGGAGGGGAGTATGGCAGGGGGGGCTTGCCAGGCCTGTGGGATCTGAGCCTTTCTTGCATATTTCATCTTTGCTCTGGAATTGAAATGTCTATTCTAAAAGCAAAAGGTCTCTGCCCCTTGGTGCTGTGAGGAACTGGGGGGCTGAACCTGTTCTCCTTCATGGAGTGAACAGCTGTCTCTTTGCTGCTCTCCTTTCCTCTTCTTGGATGAGAGGAGCATCCTCGGCAGCAGCTCCATGCCTCTCTGGGGAGTGTCCAGAGCTGGAAGCTTTTATGCTGGAGGAGGCTGGGATCTGAGGCAGCCATTGCACAGGTGTCAATGACCACACAAAGTGCAAGGCAGAGGAGAACTTGGTCCCTGGGGTTCTGTGGGGAAAATGTTGGGAGGAGTAATGAGCGTTGATGTTTCAGTGCTCTAGGGATCAAGCAGGGAAATGAGGGGAAGAAGAGGAACCAGCCACAGGTAGCTGTGGTGTTTGTCATGACGTTTGACCTGTGGCCCTTGAGCCTAAGCAGAGGCCCCATCTAGTAGGTAACTGTCCCACAAGTCTGAAGAATGAAGCATGCATCATTGGAGGCAGCAAGGCTTGGAGATTAGCTGAGCGAACAGTCGGGAGCTAAAAGGGGGGGGAGAGGTGGGAGAGTCACATGAGAATCTCTGCCTCCTTCTAATACCTGCCAGTCATGGGTCAAAGGCAGGAGGGGGAGGGGGGCATGTGCTGCCAGAAGATCACTGGTGGAAGCGGGGAGTGTGTGTTGGGGGGAGGAAATTCCCTCTTTTATGGTCTCCCTGCTAGCAGCTGAATTTTCATTGTTTGGCTCCTTTTGATGTGTCAGCCCTCTCTCCTGAAGTGGGGATGTCTCTTGGCTTTTCTCCATTTTTTTTTTCTTCTCTTGACTAACTCTCTCATTCCTATGTTTCTCATGACTGATTTGCTTCTTGAGTAATACCTCTGTAGTGATGCCAGTGCTACTGGGGAGGCAGGGTAGTTTGATGCAATACATGGCCAATCTTTTATTTCTAACTATCCCAATCGTGACTCCCCTGAGGGCTTGGGCAGGGCTGGCGTGCAGCAACTGTCTGTAGCACTTCCAGTTGCAAAGGTAACATTAAAAACATGACTTGAGTGTAACTGATGCTGTGACATTTGCTTAAGACTTCAGACAGCCCGAAACAATAGCTCTGAGAGGCGTGAACTCAAGGGGCTGTTAACTCTGAAACCCAACAATGACCATTTAACTCACCATTGTCAGCTGTTCCACTGTTGAGCAAAGCACTGAAAAAGGGATGGGCCAGATGTATTGTGATTTGCACAGTATACTGAGCGTGGTGCCCCATTTTGCTCTCTCAAGTGGGTGGAGCTTTCCCCAAACTTCTGGTTTCCCCCTGGCTTGAAGCTGTTGTAAGGTGGGTCACCGTCGCATTTTGACCTAGCGAGTGCCTGTTTATCTGTGTCTCTGCCCTGGCACAGGCACTAAGGTAAATGCAGCTCACTGACCAGGGGGAAGACGCTGGGGGTTAAAGTGTGCTGTGGTCACCTCTGCAGAGGGTTGATGTGATGAATGTGATGACCCCCTCCCCCAATTCATTTCACTTTAGTCCCCAGAGAACATTTCTCTGCATCACCTACCTCCTCTCCCCACAGTGCAGCCCTGAGTTTCTCTGTGCACGAGGCCAGGGGCTCCCTTTGGATCATGGCAGCGCAGTGAGAAGCTGTCTGGGTGGTGCAGTGAGCTGTCAAGGGCTCTGCTCTCTTCCCCACAAGGGCTGAACAGGCTGCTCCCCACAGGATTTCTAGCCCTGGGGACAGGACACTCAGGGAACTGAAGCTGGATCCACTGCTTGGGCCTGTGGAACACAGCTCCCTGGGCTTGGACAAGCCTTCTCTGGCTCAGGAACGTAAAGGGGCTGCATGTCCCTTTAAGGTAGGAGCACTTGGCCTGTGACTCCCAGTCAAGCAGTCACGATCTTTACTCCGCATAATGCCAAACTTTGTTAGAGCAGGTAATCATCCACAGCCAGCAAGGGGAGGAGGGAGGCGTCTGGCTGTGAGTCCAGTCCCTATGTGGCCAGCTGGGAGCCAACGCAGGGATTGTCATGGTTTTGTTCCTCAGGAGCAGGTCAGCTGGATGGAGGAGGTTGGGAAGGGAGCCAGAATGCTGAGTTTTGCTTCTCTCTGCTTGGGTAAGGATCCCAGGGCAGTGTGGCCTCGGGTGCTTTGTCCTTGAGTCCGGTATCTCGGGAACAGTTCTGGCCCCTCCAGACGGAGTGGGGGAGGGGAAATTTGTTCTTTAACTCAAGGGCAGGTTTAATTAAACATCAGGTGACCTGGCAGTGGCTCAGAGCTCTATGAGAGCAACTTACTGAACACCATCTTGTGCTCAACAGCTGGCTGGAGGCCAAGCCTTGGGCCTGGGATCCTGTGGGAGCCACAGGTTTAGGTCTCTGTGCTGCCTGCTGAGATTACTGAGGTGCAGTCGCTGGAAGTGCCCCAGCAGTAGGGCATTGCTTTACCGCTTTCTGTAGGGACCAGGCTGTGTGTCTGCAAAGCTGGGAGGCAGTTTCTCTCTGGTCAGATCTAGCCACTTTCCAGTGACAGCTGTGGCCAAGAGGAGTGACACAAGGGGTGTAAGACATCATCCCACCTCTCCCTGCACACCTTTCTCAGGCCACCTCCTTACTGGCTTTGCAAGGTTGTTAGGGTGAGTGGATTCTCACTGGTGTCCCCATGTAGTAGCCCAATTTGTGGCATTCCAGGTGCCCACCGGAGTGGGGTTCTGTAGGGCAGTGCACCCCCTCTTCCCTGGCAGACTCCCAGCTTGGGTCCCTGGAATTCTGATGCCAGGTGTTGGGACCAGCCTGCTCTACACGTGTCCACTGACAGCTTCTCTCCAGAGTTTCAGGGGCTCCCCCTTGTTTCCTGGAGGGTCCCTGGAGGCCTCTCCAGCACAGCATGGACACTGGGCCATTCTGTGTCTGGAGGGATTTCAAGCTGTGGAATGTTACCTGTCAATCTCTAAGTTGGCCTGGGGGTCTGAGATCCCTCTCCCTGTGCCCTGTAGAAGCGGTTCATCCTAGCTGGGGGCCCCCAGGTAAAACTCGTGGGAGTGTGTGGCAGAGTATTTCCAGGGGAGGGTCCTCTGCTTTGAACTGCCATCAGAGTGCTGAGCAGCCTGAGGAAGAGGAGGGAACATAGCCTAGTGATTAGAAGAGGGCACCGGGTCAGGAGTCAGATCTCAACTTGGCCAGCAACTCACTGCCTGTGCCTGGGTGAGTGCCTTCCACACTGTGTGCCATGGGGCTGACGATCCTGATGAACTGCTTGGGCGCCAAGAGGTTGAAAATTTGTTGAGGTGCATTCATGGGGTGCTGGGAGCTGGAGCTGGATGTGGTCTGCAGGCTGGCTTCTTCTTAGCTAGGTCAGATTGTTGACAGCTTTGGGGTAGCATCTTTGGGTTTCTGCTTAGTAATTGGTACTCACTCAGCTCCTGCAGTGACAGCCACAGTATAATAATAATCCGGGACCAGGCAGGGTGCTGCACTGAACAGTAACAAGGGGTAAAGCCAGTAATGCTGGAGCCTTCATGAGTGGGTACAGGAGGCAGCGTCTCCAGACTCCCCAAGTCAGCTTCACAGTAATCCCTGAGTGGGGCGAAGGGTGCCCTCTCAGCATGCCTGGGAGAGCTTTGCTGGAGCTGAGCTGCCATCGTGGTTACACAACTGCTTCACCCAGAGACTCTGAGCTAGTGCCATCCTCTGTGCTCAGATGTTGGACTGAGTTGGGCAGAGCCCTGCAGGCTTGTGCCTTGGCTCTGTCACTTCCATGTGCTTCTCCTTCATTGCAGGCTCTAGGATGCTGGGGCCAGCTAGGCTGAACCTGCCCACGTGATCCTCACTGCTTCCAGCCCTCGCCCTGCCTGCCCACCATGCTGCGCTCCTGGCGTGGAAAGTTGAAGCTGCTGCTCGCCACTGTAACACTGGTGATCCTTCTCTCGTGGCTCTGTGTCTTTGTGGGCAGTTCAGAATGTGAGTGTGGCCTGGCTCTGGGTTGAGGTACTGCCCAGGACAGGGGAATGAGCGACAGCAGACAGCTGCCAGCCAGGGCTCTTGGCTTCTTCTGGTTCTGCCACTAACTCGTTGTGGGCACAGTCCCTCTGCCTCAATTTCCTCATCTGCTGTAACATGGGGTGATGCCCCTGCCTTGTCTCTGGGGGGGCTTGTGGACAAGTACATTACTGTATATAAAGCATTATGGGTGGAGATGTAGCTTAGAGATGGACATAGGGGCTGGGAGCCAAAAAGGTTGCAAGGCTGAGCATCACAGGTGCTTAACTTCTAGATTTGTAGAAAATCACAGGAACAACACTGATCTACAAAGCTTGGGCTAGGCGCCTAGGCTCCCTGTGCAAGGACTGGGGAGAGCTGGGTGCCTCGCAATGGGATCCACAAAAGCCAGTATGCTAGGCTGGGAGCCACCTCAGCTAATCAGTGGGAGATGCTGATGAGAGAGGTGCACTAAGCTCCAACCTCCCAGCCCAGGCACTTATCTCTGTGGGCTGCGGGGAGGTCCTATCTCAGCTAGTGATCCAAACCAGGGGAAGATAGGTGCTCCTGTGCCTCACTGGTGTGTGGGGCCGGATCCGATAGGCCTGCTCAGAGGCTACCTAATTCCACTTAAAACAGCAAGGGGGAGGGAGCGGTGGAGGCGCTGCCTCATAACCTGGTTGGGTGCTCATCTGGAATGTGGGAGACCCCTGGTTCAAAACCCCGCTCTGCCTGAAGAGGAGAAGGGATTTGGACAGGGATCTGCCACTTCTCGGCTGAATGCTCTAACCAGTGAGATATAAAGTGATTCTCACTCTCTCTGGCCCAATTAATGTTTAATTGAAGTGGAATAACTTCAATAGCAGAGATTGAGGGAGATGCACATCAGAATATTGTCCACCCCATGCAAGCTGTTGATTGGAGTTAGGCAGCCTCTGAACCTCCACTGGATTGGGTTGTGCATGTGATGCAGGTGGCCCAGTGCCTGGTTTGTGAATAGTAAGGGGCTTAGGTGGGAGATAGGTGTCTGGAGCCTAGAGGAAGGCAGCTATGCACATGCCTCTGTGGGGATTTGGGGCATTCTTTCTTCACAAATTGCTGTCCCCAGCCACCAGTGCCACTCCCATGTTATCCCCCTCCCTCCCCATGCCCTACACTCACTGTGACTTTGGGGTGCTCTCTCCCCATGCATGGCCAACTGTTATCTCTTCTCCCTCCCCCTTTCCATGGTCAGGGGGCACTGCATGGGGTGCTGTCCCACCCGTGACTCCTACCATGTCCCGGGGTGTGAAATCACAGTGATTTGGGGGGCTCTCTCTCCACAGATGGCCGTTCCCTCCTATTGTCTCCTTGCCTTGGGGACCAGGACCTGGAGCGAGAGGCCTTGGCATCTCAGGTGCGCAAGGTGGAAGAGGAAAACCTGCAACTGCGCCTGCAGCTCAGCCAGTCTCGGGCGCAAGCTGGGGCTGTGGAGGGGAGTGATGGCAGCCAGCAGTGGGCAGCCTCCTTTGAGGATGGGGATGCCCCAGGAGATGACGGGAGCAACCGCACAGGCTGCCCCAAGCAGCAGATGGTGCAGAAGTGTGAGGTGAGCGACTGTAGCTGGCTTCATGGCGCTGTCCTTGGGGAGGGCAGGCACCCTGAGGGGCCTGCACATATGGCCAATGACACCGGGTGCTGAGGGTCTCCATGGCCTAGGGTGATGGCCTGGCCTAGCAGCGAGTCCCTAGATTCAACCGCCGCTGTGTAGCTGCCTGATTGCACTGGCCATGCCAGGGCCTCCCCCTTGCTGTCTGCTTTGTTCATGCCTCAAATACGTGGGCATTTTATTTGCAGTTAAGAGGGTGATGCTGACAGCCAAAAGAATGACCCCTTCTTGCGTCCCACTGGGAGATGTTAGTGCCCCTCCTCAGTGCCTCAAAGTGTGTGAGCATACAGGTGGGGAGGCAGCACCAGGACTCCTGGGTTCTCTTCCCAGCTCTGCCACTGACCTGTTCTGTGATCTGGGGCAAGTCCTTCCTCGCTCTCTGCCTCAGTTTACCCACCTATCACCTGTGGGTAATGACCCTGACCTGTGTCCCTAGGGGGCTGGGTTGCTGAGACTGTTTCTGTATGAGATATGCTGTGTGAGGTGAGATGGGCGGGTAGGAGAACTGCCTGACCAGAATGTTATGCAGCAGCTATCGCCATCTGCCTTGGGAGGAGAGGACTCTAATCAGTGCCAAGATCTTGGGGTGGGGAATGATACTACGAAGTGTTACTGACCCAGAGGCTGCTGCATGCTGGACAACCCTTGCCCCAGGGGTGCTGCTTTGGGCAGGGCTGATGGTGCCTTCTGTCTCTGGGCAGCTCCTGCACGTAGCGATTGTATGTGCTGGTCACAATGCGAGCCGAGACGTGGTCACCCTGGTGAAATCCATCCTCTTCCACAGGTAACCCAGACAACAGTGTGGGGGGAGCCTCTGCTATGCTATGCTAATTTATAGAGGTTCTTACACAGCACTTACCCTGTCTTCAGGGGCTGGTGGGCTTCCATCTCCATTTCGGACCCATGTGCTTTGGGGGTTCAGGTAACATGGGGATCAGATATGAAACACTCCTGCAGCTTGGCTCCCCAGTCATAGGGCAGTGTGGGAAGGGGAGGTGCGCAACTGGGAAGCCCAGGCTGTGGTGGTGGTGGAGAACTTAACCTGTCCCTCTTCCTGTCCCTCTTAACCAGTCACAACTCCCAGGATCCTGTGTTACTGTGACCAGTGTTTGAGGGTCCCATGTGAAGGTGCTGTGCTGTCTGGGTAGGGACTGAGTGAGGTGCGGGGTGGTGAAGGCTCTCTGGGTCCCACCTGTCATCTGCTGGGGAGTGTGGATGGATCTGTCCCAGGTGGACCCTGGCTCAGGATGGGGCAGCTTCTCCCAGATGCCACCCGCTTTGGTGGTGGAGGAAGCTGTCCTGGGCTCAGTGGCTCAGGAAGGATCTCTGACAGCTGCTTGTGTTTCCTCCTGGCAGGAAGAACCCTCTCCATTTCCACCTCATCACGGACTCGGTGGCTCAACAGATCCTGCAGACTCTCTTCCAGTCCTGGATAGTGCCCTCCGTCTACGTTAGCTTCTACAACGCAGACGATTTGAAGGCAGGAGCCCCAGATCCCCTTCTCCCCTCACTGTCCCTCTTCCCCCCACTTTCTCGGCTTCTCTTTCCAGTCTTGGTATTCCAGTGAAGTGATCAGCCACTCAGGGAGGCAGGGATGGTGGTGAGGAGAGTTTGCCAGACTGTTAACTCTCTTGCTGCTGGCCCCTCTCTCATCTGCTCTCCCCCTGGTGTCTGTTACCATTTGACTGATAAGGGGGCACTTGGTTGGCGTGGGAGTTGTGAAGGGGCCTTTCTCCTCCACTTTGGCTCTGGTCTGAAGTAGTTGAAACCTGCTCCCTTCTGCGAGTTCCCAGGTGGCTCCTGTATGAAGGAGCTGGCGAGGCTCAGACCCATTCCTAGCAAGCGCATGTCAAAATGACACAACCACTAGCCCAGGTGACACTAACTGGTCCCCTGGTTGGTAGCCTCCTCAGAGAGCCAGGTGTAACTGGGCCATGCACTCTCACCTAGAGAGGGCCCCTCCAAAGCAAGATGGGACTCATTGGCTTGGATATGAAACAGCCAGAGTCAAAACCATCCACAGAAGCAGCGGGGCATGCTATAGGGCAGTGGGAAGCCTAGGCATCAGAGTTCAGTCTGGTCACAAAATCTGAGAGCATCTGTACAAGTCATGCCCAGATGATGGGGAACAGGGAGGAACTGTGGACAGCACAGAGAAATATCCCAAAGGGCCCAAAAGAGAACAGGCACATGGGCAGGAGTCAAGTGAGACTCAGCCTCAGGAAACACTGCTAATACATCAGGGGAAACCCCGATCCTTGATGAGAGGGGCTGGGAGAGCCTGGGGAGAGTGGGGCTGTGATGGGACAGAGCTCCACAAAGGCCACTGTATCTGGGGGCTGTGTACTCGAGGGCTTGTGTCCCAAAGCCGGGAGGGGATAGCTCCTCTTTGTAAGGCTCTGGGTACCTCAGTCCCTGGGGTCTCTCCTCGTGGAGCAGGGAGGAGACACTCAGCAGGTGACATTCGTCCTGAGGGGCCCAGAGCAGACACACAGACTGGAGGGAGTACAGGGAAGGGCAACAAGAATGAACGGGGTTGTGGGGAGCCATTAAAGAATGGCATCCGTCCAACTTGGCTAGTGACTGTAAGGAGGGGAGGGAGAATGTGGTGGCTGGGGATATCTGGATGTGTAAACCCCAAGTCGGGGAGGGGGAGATTTTTCAGGCTGATACATAGGGTGCAGTGTGGGGCGGGGCAGAAGGAATCTTGGCTGAGTCTCAGGATGGAGACACTCGCTGGGGGGAGGAGCCCATTGCTCAGATGTTGATCACTAACTGGAACAGACTGGAGAATGGGCTGTAGGGCTCAGTCCTTTGTGGGCCCTGGGAGAGTGACTGGCTGCTCTCCTGGGCCTTTTCCATCTTTGCTGCCTGTGGAGACATTGAGTGAGTGGGTAGGGGTGAGGACAAGATCCCTGGAAGTCTCTGATTCCCGTGTTCCTTAAACACTTCAAATGGAAAATACTTTAGCACTAAGCTTGGAATCTGTGTGCCCCCTGGTGGCAGCTGCCATAGTGGATGTAATCTGTGGAACAGGCCCTGTGCGGAGGCCTGAACAGCTGGAATATTGTACAGTGCATCAGTAAAATCCCCCTATGTTCTATCCCCTGAGATCCAGGGAGTGTGCCTCCCACCCACACGTGGAATGCAGTCTCCTTGCCTTGCTAGGACTCACTCATGCCTCCTCATTAGCCCCCTGAGGGCTTTGAAGCTCTGTAGCACAGTTGTGCTGCTTCGTTAGCCTCTGGGGCAGTGGGGGTTGGATTTGGGGAAGAGCCATGCCATTTTACACCTCTGTTTCCGGGTGAAGTGTTGGATTTGTGGTACAGACTGGGTGCTGTGTGTCTAGCCCCGGGGAGATTCGAGAATGGCTATATCCTGGCCCTGAGGGCTTCTTCCCTCCCTGTTGCAGGCAGAGGTGTCGTGGATTCCCAACAAGCATTACTCCGGGATTTATGGGCTGATGAAGCTAACGCTCACTAAGGCGCTGCCCTCCAACCTCTCCAAGGTCATTGTCCTGGACACAGACATCACCTTTGCCACCGACATCGCTGAGCTGTGGGCTGTCTTCGGGAAGTTCTCCGGTGAGGGGGAGTTGTGGAGAGGAGGAGCCTTGGGACCAGTTGAGTAGCTGTACCTCTGGGAGAGAAGCCAGGCCCACTGCCCTGGCTCCTCTGAAAACCTGCGACCCCTTGGCACTGGGTGGAGTTTAGGCGTCTCTTCTGCTTGGCTCTCCCTGGTTGTCCTTATCAGCCACTTGTGGGCGGCGGGGGAGGAGGGGGCATGAATTTGTGGTGGGCACATACTTCTCTGATGAGGTGGATCTGTCTCACTTTCCAGACAAGCAGGTGATTGGGCTGGTGGAGAACCAAAGTGACTGGTACCTCGGAAACCTCTGGAAGAACCACAAGCCATGGCCAGCGCTTGGACGTGGCTTCAACACAGGTGAGCCCAGAGCATGCACAGGTCAGCTCCTGTTGGGCAGGGGTTTATCCTGTCTCTGTCAGTGGTGAGGTTGGTGCAGGGCAAGGCCGCCAGAATGTCTGGGGGGACAGGGCTGGGATGAGGAAGCGCCTCCTTCTGCTCATTCCTGTTAGTGTTGGTGGTAGTGAGGAGCTGTTGCTGTGACTCCCATCCTGTCCCAGAGAAAAGCTGCTGCTGTCCTCTGTGACTTGGGGAGCAAACTGCCAGCTCAGGCTCTGCCAGCAAATCCACTGGGAATTGAACTGTGCGTGGCCTTGGCCACAAGAGGCTGATGGCAGGTCTCTCCAGTGGCTCTGCCTGTGCCTCTCAGTCGTGACTGGCCACCATTTCCTGCTGTTCCAGCGCAGAGGCTCTCTTACACTCTTTGATTTTATAATAGGAATAAGTGGTCCCAGGGAGCTGCACTGAGACCCTCTAAACTCACTCAATGTGTCTCTCGAGTCTGAACTAGAGCCACATGCGCCAGCCTTGCTCCTTGGCTGCCGGTGAGGTACTGCACTCTGCTGCTTCCCCAAGGGTGGTTTCTTAGGGTCACTCAGTGGCACCCCCCGGAGGTAACTGCTCCCCTAGGCCCTTCCTTTAGTGAGTGTGAGTGACAGAGCTGCCCAGGCCAATCAGAAAGCTTGTGGGCTGAGCCCCCCCACACTCCCTGTACTCTGGGAATCCTATCAGAGGTGAGTTCCCAGGCCTCCTCCAGCAGTAGACCCTGTTGTTGAGAGGGGTGTGGGACACAGGGATGCCATGTCCAGGCTAGCCAGCAAGCCTAGAATCCAGTCCCTGGCTGGGACACCCAGCAAAGGGCCTTGCTGTTAGAGAACTTGCTATGGGGATGGCATCCCAGACCATTGACCTAGTATGCTCCACAAGGGACTGGCTGGAGCTGAGCTCAGGGGTGGCATAAGGCTGGATCGACTGCATCAAACACAGTGCTGGGCTGGCTGGTACCTGTGTGATGTGGGGACACCTATGACCTCTCTTTCCTCGCTTCCCAGGGGTGATCCTGCTGGTGCTGGAGCGCCTGCGCCGGATTGGCTGGGAGCAGATGTGGCGGCTGATGGCGGAGCAGGAGCTCATGAGCATGCTGTCCACCTCGCTGGCAGATCAGGTGTGGAGCCAAGCTGAGCCCCAGCCTGCAGGCTCTTCTTTGACCCTGGTTCCTACTCTTGGGCAAACTATAGATGTAGGAAGCTGCAGGTGGGGGAGTAAATGCTGGGGCCATGGGATGCTGCTAACACTACAGACAACGCTGGCTGTGAGTGGGTACCCTGGGACCCATGCTTGAGATCTGTAACCTTCCACTCCATCAGCTCAGTCTTGGTCCTGATCTGTAGCATTCCTTGCATTTCAGTCCTGGACACCTCCTGAGCAGGGTCTGGGTACCGTGCCCACCTGTAGACTGTAGAGTGGTTGTATGATATGGATGATACAGAGATCCCTAGTCTGACCTCTCTTGTCCCCTCAGGGTTTCCCCTCCAACTCTTGGGGGGGGGGGGGGTCCTCCAGAGGAGTCCAGTTCTCCATGTGCTCACTGGTGATTCTCTTCCAGGACATCTTTAATGCAGTGATTAAGCAGAGCCCAGTGCTGGTGTACAAGCTCCCCTGCTTCTGGAACGTGCAGCTGTCTGACCATACCCTCTCAGAGCAGTGTTACTCAGAGGTCTCTGATCTTAAGGTGGGTCTCCCGGCCCCTGGCTGGGGCCTTTCCCCCACATTCCCAGGAGGAGCTGCACTGGGCCCAGGAGCCTCACATCTCCACAGCTGCAGGCACTGAACCCTCCTGGCCTGGAGGATGGGGTGTTGCGTCCTGTGGTGCAGCTTGCACCCCAGGCCTGGTGGATGGGTGGTGGTAGAGCCTAAGGGGTGGGGGAATACTGTGTCCCTGATGCTCCAGCCCATCTTTTTCAGGTGATCCACTGGAACTCGCCCAAGAAGCTGCGGGTGAAGAACAAGCATGTGGAGTTCTTCCGGAACCTCTACCTGACCTTCCTAGAGTACGATGGGAACCTGCTGCGCAGGGAGCTCTTTGGTTGTGCCAGCCTGCCCAGCCCACCCAGAAACCAAGTGAGCCCTTGCTGGTGGCTAGCCCCACCCCTGATCCTCACCTGTCTTTAACGTGGGAATGGGACATTCCATCCATGCCATCTCCTGGGACTCTGTGAGGGCTCTGTCCAGTCTAGGTGAAAGCATCCCATGTGTTCCAGCTGCAGCACCTGCCTGCTCCTGCCTCACCCCTGCCCTTGGGTGTTTTCTAGCACGAGTCTGGCTTCTGCCCCACTTCATTCTTATGTTCTAGCTGCAGCAAGCCCTGGAGGACCTCAATGAGGATGACCCCTGCTATGATTTCCGCCGGCAGCACCTTATGCTGCACCGCATCCACCTGTTCTTCCTGCAGTATGAGGTCCTGGCCTCACCTGACCCTGCTGATGTCACCCTGGTGGCCCAGCTCTCCATGGACAGGTACCTGGAAGGGGCTGGGATGGAAGGAGGGGCGGCTCCCACTGCTGAGGACTAAGGAGCTGTGGGCTCTGTAAGCAAGTTCATCAGCCCTGGAACTTTTGTACGCAGACAGATGCTGTCAAACTGACCCAAGGTTAGATCTGCACTAATAGAAACATTACTTCTGTCGGGGGTGCAGGGCACTCTCCTTATAGAGACTGGGGCTGAAATGGGAGTCTTGCCACAAATGAAATGTTTGTATTTTGATTCTGGGATTGCAAAATCACTCTTCACCACAGAATCATGCCCCAGAACTTGAACCTTATATTTTAAAAAAAATGTTTCTAGCCCTCATGGCTGCAAAGAAAACCTTGTAGCCATGAACCTAGTGTTCCTGATGCAGCAGCATCTGCCTGAGTTTGCAGAGAGCCTGAAACACCAGCTGCAAGAGGTATGAACTACTCCTTCATCTTAGTGGGGTGTTAACTGTGAAATCTAAACATGAAATTACCAGGGTTAACAGTGTTAATTATTCAATTGATGATCATAGTAGCAGAAATGGGCAGTGAATGTGCTTATCCCACAATTCCAGACTCCCTCCCAACATGCCGAAAGCCCTATAGATGGCTGTTTAACTCTCCAACTCCCCCACATTCTATAGTGCAGTTACATGCTAACACATACATCTGTGGTATGTCAAAACCAAAAAGGTGGACAGAGTAAAATAAATTGAATTCAGTATTAAAACCACTACCCCAAGGGACTGCTGCATGGACGTGATGAGTCATTTTCATGCTTAATTAAATAAAAACCTGCACTGTGGAACACGTCTGGAGCTGCCACAGCATTTCCAGCAAAGGCCACAGCATGTAAGGAACTTGCTAGAGAATCCAGGTTGTTTGCTGTGGAGTATGGGGCAGGGCCTTGGACGTTACATTCTCCGGTAGCTTGTGGAGGGGAGGAAAAAAGCGGGGGGGCAGTGGCAGAAGGGCAAGATTGAGTGGCATCAGCACTGCAGAGTGGCAGGCTTGCTCAGTCTCTTCTGCTTGGCTGTGTGCACTGCTGTTTCCTGCCTGCTCAGTTATCTGGAGCTCTCCCCATGTGTCGGGGTCTGGCACGGCCAGTCTCATGCCGGTTGCTTTCGGCTTACAGGTTACAGATGCTGGAGGCAATCTGCAAACACTGGGCAGGCCCCATCAGCCTGGCGCTGTACATGTCGGACGCAGAGGCCCAGCAGTTCCTGCGCTATGCCCAGGGCTCGGAGGTGTTGAGCAACCGCAGGAATGTCGCATACCACATTGTGTACAAGGAGGGGCAGTTCTACCCTGTCAACCTACTGCGCAATGTTGCGCTGACCAATGCACAGACACCCTATGTCTTTCTGACGGACATCGACTTCCTGCCCATGTATGGGCTCTACGATTACCTCAGGTGTGGCCCTCTCCATCCAGCCCAAGCTAGTCGTTCACCCCCAGGGGCCCCGGTGGGCTGGTTCCTTCCAGGTTGTCACCTAAGGTTCAGTCTAGTTCAACTGTGTCCCAAACAATGGGGCTCCCAGCCCTTCCCTCGGGGGGTGATTCCCCAGCTTGGGAGCTCTTGCTGTCAGGAAGTTTCTCATTCTGTAGGTGCAGGCTGGGCTCGAGTCCTCTGGGAGGGTCCTGCTATCACATGGGAGAGAGAACCCTTGGTTGGGGAAGGAGATGCCCCTTCTGTACCACTGGTGGGTGGGGGTGCTGCATCCTTTCCCTGCATGGTGGATCCCAAGGGCCTTTAGACTCTCCTGCCACCAACCTCACACTTAGAAAAGATAGGATCCTCTAGAGCCTGCCGATGCCCTTCCAGCGTCTGCTAAGGGGGCCCAGGAACACAGCTTTGCGTAGGGCTTCTAGCTTCTACTGGGTGACCAGTGGTATGCATTGCAGTCACCTCTTGCTGGCTCCACACGTCCTAGCGAGGCCTCACGCTCTCCCCTACCCTGCTGCAGGAACTCCATCCGGCAACTGGAGCTGCCTCAGCGGAAGGCAGCGCTCATCGTCCCAGCGTTTGAGACTCTGCACTACCGTCTTACCTTTCCCAAGTCCAAAGCAGAGCTGCTCTCCATGCTGGACATGGGCTCCCTCTACACCTTCAGGTAGGTGCTGGAGCTGCTCTCCTCCACCCTGCAGGGCCCAGACCACAGGCAGCAGGAGGCTCTCTGGTCCCACCCCATTCCTAGGGGCTGTGGTGCAGCCCAGACCCAAGCACCTCTCGCGTCGTCCCCCACCCCCTCAGTCTGTGCCTGTGTCTGGATCTGTGTTCTGAAGCTGCTGCCCTATAGGTAGTGAGAGGAGTGTGCGTCTCCCTGTAGCCCCAGGGTTTACTGCACCGCTGGCCTCCCTTCGCAGTTTGTCTCTGGGACCTGAGGGGCCTCGGTGTGTCACATCTATCTGGTGCCTCATTTCTGTCTCTCTCTGAAGGTACCATGTGTGGCCAAAGGGCCATGCCCCAACTGACTATGCCAAGTGGCGGACAGCCACGGTGCCGTACCGTGTGGAGTGGCAGCCAGACTTTGAGCCTTACGTTGTAGTGAGGCGTGACTGCCCCCAGTATGACCAGAGATTCGTGGGCTTTGGTTGGAACAAGGTGTCCCATATCATGGAGCTTGATGCCCAGGTGAGTGAGGAGCCAGTGGAATTTCCTGGGCCCAGACTCTTTGTCCCTAGGGACCCCATACTGCTGCTTTGGCAAGTGCCTTCTGGGTCTCTCCCAGCACCAGGCTTCCTTTGGACTAAGTTTTGTTGCCCCTGAGTAGGTGATCTGGCCCCCATGGGTGTGGGCAGAGCCCTGCTCTGTGCCTGCTTGCTGACCTCCTGCTTCTTTCCAGGAGTACGAGCTGCTGGTCCTGCCCAATGCCTTCATGATCCACATGCCTCACGCCCCCAGCTTTGACATCTCCAAGTTCCGCTTGAGCGCTGGCTACCGGGGCTGCCTGCAGACACTGCGGGAGGAGTTCCACCAGGACCTGTCGCGTAGGTATGGCGCTGCCGCACTCAAATACCTCACTGCCGAGAGGAGCCTGTGATGCTGAGGGACAGCGTGGCGGTGGGCTGGAGGGGGAAGGGGACAGACCACTTCCTTCCTGTGTGGCTCACTGCCTGAAAGGGATCAAACCTGCAGCACTGTTTCCCCAGCACAGGAACAGTAGCTCCGACTAGGGATGGAATGGAAAGAGTCAAGAGAAAGGGGCTTTTAGTTCTTAAACTGCTCCTGAGTGGCTGAGGGTTTCCTCACAGAAAGCTGAAAGCCTCACCCAGAGACAGGCCAACATTGCTAATCTCCCAGCAAGTGGGCTACCTGGAGCCTATTTCCCACTTCAAGGGCCGGGGTGGGAGGCACCTATTGTTCATTTTCCAGAGGTTTGGCCAAAATGTGAATGACACCAGTGATGAGGCTCCCATGCAGTCCCCTGGGGCACTTGTTTCCCAGCCTCACTAGTGTCCTTGCTAGAAAGCTTTACCTGACGTTCTGCAAGATGCTCCCTTGCTTGGTTTCATCAGGTCCTCCCATTTGCACCCTCTGTGCTTTGCCTCCTTCGGGGCCCTGCACAGTTACCACTGTCGGGTGTAGCTTAGCCCTGCAAGACAGGCTGAACTTTAGTTCTTAATTTCTTCTGATGAACCTCTTTCTCTCTCTTTCCTCCTTTCCTGTGCCTAGAGGGAGCTGAAGCACCCCCATGTTTCCCCAAGGGCAAAGTGGCCTACAGAATTGGTCTCTTAGGGTATGCCTACACTGCTGTGAAAACAGGTGACCTGTGGCAGCTGGTGCAGGGCTATAAAACTGCAGTGTAGACGTTAGGGCTCAGGCTGGAGCTGAGGCTCTGTGACCCTTCCTGCTTGTTTGCAGGTGGTTGTATGTGCACAAGCGTGCCCATCTTTTGCTGGCTGAGGGTCTGTACACAAAAACACCTGCCAGCTAAGATCCCTGCATAGGTACTGCCTCGGGCCAGCCTATACCACTAACCTTCATGGCCATCTTCCCACAGAGGATGGGAAGTCCTGTCCCTCTTCCCCATGCAGTCTGGGCGGAATCTCAGGCTGCTGCCCCTTGGTGTCGCATCCCTGGATTTTCCCACACATGGCTAATGAGGGTTGGTGCTGCAGGTCTGGGGCCCACAGCATGTTTGGTTCTGGTCTGTGCCTTGGAGCTGAGCCACTATTGGATCTATTGCCAAATCATGGTGCCTGTTATGATAAAACCATTCAGTCCCTGCCGCTCTGGCAGTAGGTAAAACTGTCCCCTGGTAGGCCACCAGCTGCTTAGAGAAACCTCTCTAGGGGTCACTTCCAAGTCTCAGAGGGAAAGATCCTGAATCTCAGTAATATTGACACTGACAATCAGGGACATGGTTGACATTGTAGCTGGGTGCTATGGTCAGAGACCTATGCTGGGAGCAGCTTTGGCCAGGCGCTGTTCCACAGTCCTCACACACTGGAGCATGGAGGCACAGTTGCTTTCCTCACTCTCTATTTAAGTTATTTAAGATGATTTCTCACAGGGTATAAATGATTAGGAGGGCCTAGGGTTTTTAGCCTCTCTCTTCCTTCCTGATGGTTCTGAAGTATCTTCAGGACTGTCAGTGCTAGACTCTCTGCTCTTCACTTCCTGGTAATCAAAGCCGCTACTGTGCTGGGAGCAAAACATTCCGGCCAGGGTGAGGCAGGCCCAGGGGCTACTGTTCTACACTCTTTGTATGGAAAGGGCATAAGTATCTCCTCTATTTTTTAATTAAAGCTTTTTTAAAATTCTTTTTCAAATCCTTGGAGAGCCATGTGGTTATTTTGTCACATTATGTCTGATGCTGGAGGTGGGGCAGGGCTTACAGGCTGGCAGGAAATTAGGGCAAGTTCACTTCCCCAGGAGCGAGGGTTGTGTGTGGAGCTGATACTGTGTCACAAGGTTGTGAAGGGATGGTAACTACGGGGGGGGGCGGCAGTGACAAGATGATGTAGAAATGTCAGCTCCACCAAGCAAGAGAGAACTCATCCCCTACCCAGAACTGGTCCTTCTGGTATTTACTGACACCAGGAAGATCAGGCCATTGTCTAACAAACTGTTGTGGCAGTGGGTGGCTGCAGTTATGCTCACAAAAAGTGACTGGACAAAGGGCATTGCAGGATTCCCTGGGAGTTGGCACTTGCTAACTTAAGGTCAAACAGATAAAAAGATGTATTGTTTTCTCTGCCAGTGGGCCCCTACCCAGCTCTAACAGGCAAGCTAGGCTCTTTCTATCTCACAAGTCATCCCCTTTAACAGACATGCTACAGGGCAAATTCTACCCTCAGTGTCACTTCTGCAGCCCTTCCACAAGTGCAACCACTCAGAACCTAGTATCCAGTTCTGTTGCTGGTGTACAAGAGGGAATGGAGTGCAGCTCTGTGTGCTGAGCTGGTGCTATGGGGCTAACAGCACTAAGGCCATGTTTCGTCCCTAGAGGTAGCAGCTGAGACCTTCAGAGAGCACTCTGAAGGGTAAGAGGTCCTTTTGTACAGTTACATCAGACCAAACCCACACTTTGAGCCTATTTGTGAATTGGCTGGGAAGCTTTTCCTGTACTATTAACAAGGGTTCCTTCTTCCTGCCATCTTAACAAAAGATGAGACCAGTAGTAACCACCTGCCCATAGCAGCATGTGCCTAGACTAGAGCTTAACTAAAATCAAGCTAATGTTGTTACCTAGCATCTGTGTTAGGAGAAATGGTGATGTTAGGTCAGGTTGAGCTAGTGCTGGTTAGTTAAGCCTGCCTATACTTGATCAATTTTCTTAGGCCAGGTCTAGACTAGAAATTTTTGCTACTGTAAAGGCCTGCTACAGGTGGGAGCATTTTGGTGACATTTCTCTAGCCCCAAAAGCCCTAGTCAAGATGCAGTTCTATCCTGGCTTAAAAGTGATAGCTTATTTTGTTTGGGGAGGTGAATAAACTATACTGCCAAAAACGCTTTTTTGCCAATATAAGCTGTGTCTATGTTAAGAGGGTTTGCTACTACAGCTGTACCAGGAAATCTTTTCTAGTACAGACCTGGCCTTAGTCAAGCCAAACCATACCCTGTGGCCCATACGTTGAAAAAAGACTTAAGAGCCACTGACCCAAAGTAAAATTGGGTCTAGTCTGAGTTTCTAGTGCTCCTTCTGGGTTTGTGATCTTGATGGAACCACTGACGTGTGCGGTGAACATCCTGCAACATCAAAGCATCAGGAGTTACGGCCTTGCTTTGTTCTCACCCCTGAACACAAACAATGAACAAAATTGCAGCTTTGGTGCATAAGGGGGAGCTAGTGAAAGCAGAAATGAGATCTGGCTGCATAGGCTAATGGCCCTTTTGCCTTGTGGAAAGTATAGCTGTTTGACAAAGTTACGCTTTCAACCTCTACCTGAACATATTCACCCACTGATGAAAATGAAGCCTGAGCTCCCAGTAGACTGAGATTAGTTCTGGGCTCTGTATCACTTTCTCATGAGCTCTTACAGTATAAAGCTCTTCCAGGTCCAGGTGCCCCATGTAGTGATGGGAAATGCTTCCCTCACCTGGTAAACATGGCTACAGAGACAAGCGATTTTATTGTGTTTTATTTAGTAAAATGTTAAAATAAATAAATACAAATTGATCAGATGCTCTGTATCCCTCTCCCCCTCCCCTCCCCTCCCTTTAATTTGCTAAAATCTAAACACAGTTGTACCAAAACTGAAACCACAAGGGACTTGAAGGCTACAGAGAGAAGGCAGCAAAGAGACTGCAATTCACTATTAGCATCAGGCTAAAAAAAATAGAGATATTTAAAAAAAACAAACCAGCTCACGAGTCAGTATTATTCTCATTATGCAATTCTGTGAAAACAAAGTGGTATCATTCAAAAAAGGGTATTTTACACCAAGGCCTGCAATGATATGGGATTCGTAGGGATGGGAGGGACCACAAGAGATGTTGGGGTTATCTGGCACGAATGACAAATGAGACAGAGGTGAGGAGAGGTTGGATGGTATCTGGATATAAAGGTTCTTCGTTCCTGTGCATGACTAAATATGTCACACACAGCTGTGGAAATCTATTCAACCAAAGACAAAACCTGCTACTTTTTCTGGTAGTGCCCTGGAGCACTAAGGACTTATGCTGCTGATCTTTTACATGTACTTGCACTGAAGATGCTAGTTTCAAGTGTAACCACTCAATCCTGCCACAGGTATATGAGATGCTGGGGCCACTTCCTTGTTACAGAAATTAAGGACCCCTCAAAAACAGCTGCTTTCCTGTTTCTTTATCTAGAACCCAGTGCCCAAATTATTATTAGCCTCTTTGCTATTTTCCCCTTCTACAGCGACTTGGAATTAGCTCACAGGTAGGTATAACACAGCCAGGGGCTGAAGGCACAGGCAGGGGGTGTGGGATCTGTTACTAAAGAGCATTTCAAGAAAATCAGGTGGGTGGGAGAGGATAAGATGGCTCAGGTGATGGGAACTAAGCTATGGAGTCTTTCATCTCTAGCTCAATGGCTTCAATATGAACCATGACAATTTTAAAGCTGGTCAGGGCCTATAAGTGGAGACAAGGCACTTGTGGTGAGATAAACTAGGCAAGATCAACACTATACCCCCACTCGTAACTGACCCTGCCTAGGTTACCTCCATGTAAAACTACAGGTGCCTTGTCTTCCCTAGTTTTTCCAGCATGACAACACACACACATTAGTTAGCCCATGGTAAAAAACATGTTTTTGTCAGTGAAGCCATAGCCTGAATGTGGGAGCTCATAGTAGACTCTCCAGCAGCGCATGCCTGGATGAGGCTGGTGGGTTCAGGCTGGGAAGCAGGCATTGTTCTTAGGGCAATTTAAAATGTAATCTTCTAAGGAGCCCTGGCTGCCTGTCATGGGTGGTACAGGGAGTGACCCAGAGGCAAAGTAAATTTTGAAAGGGAAAGGTTCATGTTAAATTCTGCTCTCAGCCTTAGAGTCAGTCAGCTATTTCAAGACAATGATCATTAAAATGAGGAACCATATGAAAACGTGTTTCAGAATTACAGACTAGCCCAGAGCAAGCAATAACATGTAGCCTGCTGCTCTGTTCATCTGTTACTGTTAATATACCCATTCGCTCAGTGGTGTCAGTTCCTGATGACCAAAGAATGAGAGAAACACTTGGCCCTTATACAGCAAGTGTAGAATTACCACCCCATTACTATTTAATAGAGGGGGAAACAGAGATATATAAGGGGTTTGTTTTTTTCAAAAGTGGCAGCTGATTTTTTTGGGTGCCCAACTTGAGATGCCTTCATTTTGATTTTCAGAGGTACTGAGCCCTGGCAGCTTCACATGCTTTAACTGGAACTGTGGGTGCTCAGTACAGGACTTCTGAAAAATCTGGCCCTTGCTCTTACACTGGCTAACCAAAAATCAGAGGCAACTGTTGAAAAATTTCCCCTAGAGACTTAACCAAGGCCACACAAGAAACGCATAGCAGAGCTGGGATTATAACTCAGGAGTTACTGGGCCCTAGCCTTGTGCTCAATCCACTGTGCAACTCTGCTTGTTTAGTGAAAATAGAATCTCTTTTCTGGCTCAGAGGCACCAGCCAATTCTTCATTTTTTCCCACAACACGGCTAAAGAAAGCTTTCTGAATGCCAGAGAACAAAGGAGTAGGAAGTGGCTGAGTTTATGCTGCCTGCATTGTAATAAGTAAATAAACGTAATTTCAAAACAAACCAAAAGTGATAAAAACACTGCTAAAATGACAGGAGACTGGCATCAACCTGGACCAGTTAGCAGCCTTTTCTTGCCCTTTGTCCACTTTGGGGCAGTGGGTCTCTGTTTTTGAAGCACCACTACACATTTGGGCACTACAGAACTAGTAAAAACAGTAACAATGGAGCGATTGTTCCCTTTCCTGCGCACTGAATTTATGTGAGAAGTATCCCCAGTCTGGTACCAATGCGCTGCTTCTTAACTTATATCGATGCTCTAAGAGATTCTGGCAATGGGCCCACCCAAGATACTTGGGTGCTTCCCAAAACACTTTCCTTTTGTCTTTTGAAGCTCTTGCCTAAATTAGAGGAATTCCTCTTGTGGAAAAAGAAACCAAGTCACAGGAGAGGTCAAGATAGGAAAAGAGAGTATCTGCCCCTCTGGGTCCTAGGCCCAGCCCCTTTACCTTCAACCCTATAACTGCAGCACTGCTCCCCCTCGTTTCTGTGCTCCTTTGGGATATTTTCCTATGCTTTTCTTTTACCTTTCCCCACCCCTGTGTCATTTCTCCTTTCCCTCCCATCTATTCTCCCTTTCCTCTTCCTGCCCATGCTCTTCCCGTCTGTTCCTCCCCTTACTCTCTCTGCACCACACATTGACTCTCACGCCCTTACATGCCCCTGCTCTGAGAAAAAGGCTCCCTTTTGTTTCCCCTGTGCCCATCCAGTGTTCCCCTCCAGAACAGGGAGGTGAGGAGAAGCACAGATGCTGCTCGAGGCAGGTCAGTAGCTCCTGTACATGGTGGCAGTATGGCTGAACATATGTGCCTTCAGGCTGATCATTCACTGCACTGCCCAGAATCACAGGCTGTGTTTACACTAGCATTTTTTCCTCTAAAAATATCCTACTGTTGCTACCACTGCTCCAACTTCACCCATTAAAGCACTAGCGTAGACCAGCTGCCTGTCATTTAACCTTAGCAATGTAGGTTCAGGCAACATAGCAGTTAGAAAACCAGAGGTTCATCAGAACCTTGCCTACATTAGAGCTCCTGCTGTTGCTGCCTTTAGCGGAACTTCAGTATTGGGGAAACATAGGGGGAAAAAGGCCTGTCGTTTTATTGATCTATTAATACCATGCACACCAATGCAATGTATAAATAATTATACTTTATTGTGTAGTTTCCAAATATGTGCTCATATATGCTCATCCTGTACAGGACACAAAACTACAGTCCTTGTCCCAGTCTACAAGGTGAAATGGGAAAGATGGGATACACTGGATAGCCCACAGGAGGGAATACCAGAGAAGGATTTATGAAGTATCATCACATCCCTTCTTGCGGATGTTATCAAAGGAGTAAGCCTTTATATGAGGGATCTGAATGAAAAGGGTGGAAGCTTGGAGATATATAGGAGCAGGAGTTCCAGAGCTAATTCCTTGGGCATTTCCTGTTCTACATCTGATGGCCAACAGTATGGATCTGAGGCAACATGCTGAAGCTGCTCAGCCAAGGTGCATTTACAGATTTAGCTTTCTGTTGCAGGGGCCTTAAACATCGTGTCTTCTAAATAGAGAAGACTGCAGAGCCCACTTCTGGCTGGTGATACAGCTTGTGAATGGCCTTGGGTACGGCAGTTTGCTGATCAAGTGAGCCCAGGACTCCTTGATAATGCCAAGCAAGTCAGGTGCAGGGGAAAACATTTATCCTTTTTCTCTGGGTTGAAAAAGCCATCTATGCAAATCCTCTTCTGTACAGAAAAATCCAGGAGGGAGCAGTCTTGGCAGTAAGCCTTCTGTGGCAACCTGGCAAGCCTGAACTTGCCTTGAATCCTCAGTGTTCAAGAACCCCTTAAAGCCTGATTGCTAGACTGTAATTGCTATTTCCAGCAGGACAAGGAGAGGGGAAGAAGGGACTGAGGGAACTTTATAGTGGATGTGGCTAGGGAATCCCTCTTTTGGTGGGAAGAATGTAGTACAATCATAAGGGCGGGGGAGCTTCAGAGCTCATCGTGGCTGGGCTGCTGAGGGAGTACTTAGCATGTTCCCCCACATGGATGTGGGAGGGAGAGCCAAGAGGCTGGTGGTAAAATTATTTATGGGGCAGGAACAAGGAACCGCTGCCCTTGAGGCTCCTCTTGCTATGATGGAGCACAGAGAAGAGGCTGCTCTAACTGTAGTTCAGGCATGCTGGACTTCTTAGTAGACCACATGTAGTGCCAAGGATTGAGTCTTATCAAACTAGCCCTGGTCTGGGTCCTGGAAGGTGGCCAAAGGAGAGTTGGGCCCACTGCTCACCTCAGACCCCATATCAGCCAAAATTCTTGTCTGTGCCCTGAACAGGGATGGGGATAGAGCTGACAGATAAAGTGCCTAGTGGCAGGTGCAACAGAACGTCCTACCCTATGCCTGGTCATGTCATCACTACTCTTCTGTCCTTTGAGAAGGCTGGACCAGGGAAGCCTCCAGCAAAAAGTTTCGGTTTTGGCATCTGAATATTCCGTATTTTAAAAAAGGGTTTAATTTTCATGCTGTATTAAGCTGGTGTGAGAGCAAATCAGACATGGTTCAGTCTTGCTAGGGATATACCTGCAGTGCAAATTCATTGATGATGTTTTGCTACATCTGTATTATAAGGACACCTCCATTTATTCCAAGTACCTCAGGCAGCCACAAGAGGAGGATTTCACTCTGGGCCTTTGTGAATGCTGGCCAGGCTCAGAGTACAAAGGGTGGGCCTGGAACAGTCCCTGGAAGAAGCTGATTTGAAGTTGAGGAGGTCAGGATTAATCTTCAAATCTCCAGACAGTTTGGATATGGATTTGCTTTCTGAAGCCTTGTCGTACTGTCAATAAAATACATCACTGACTTCCTGTCAACAACTAAACTAATAGATCTGCCCACAAAATCTCCACAACCTTTTAACTCTAGGTAGGCAGATGTAAATTATCATTACCAAAAGAGTCATATTTGCAACTACAGGCGAATAAGATTTTTGAGTTGCTCATATAACAGACCCTCTTAACCAGGATTCTCCAGGTGCAAAGCATTTTATCCTACCACTGATAATCACCTGCCAGTGATGCACTCACAGAACCATTAAGTTTCCTACACTGTCCACCAATAAACCACACCAGTACTACTTTGTGACTGTCTGTTTTGTACAGCACTGAGCACACTGATGGCTCTAAACAAATAATAAATCATCATACTAAGTATTCTGTCAAGTATTCTGTCTGCATGACATCCCACAAATGTACCTTCCAGACATTTTAAGAACAGATTGCAAGGATAAGGGAAAAGCTATTTCTAAAATTCACTTGTTCTTTTTCTGAGCAGTGAGAGAGGCAGCACGACTTAGTTGGGCTGGGAGCTGGAAATGCATCGGATACCAACTCCCTTTGTGGCCTCATTTTAGCTCCCTGCCTCAGTTTTCCAATCTTTAAATGGGAATAAGTCGTCACCTACTCCTGGCAGTGATATAAGGATTAGCTAAATGTCCATATGCTGCTTAGGAAATACAAAATACTAAGTATTATTATATGTAGCTTTCCATATGGCCTCAGTTCAGAGAAATTTAGACCTGGAGAGGTTTCAACACCATCAGACCATACCAAATATGACAGGAAAGAAAAGGCAGCAGATATTAGAGAAAGATAAAAGCTAACTACCAAACAGTTGTAATTTCTGCATTGTTTGGGACTCCTCTGAGCAGCTAAATCTATATATATATTATTTTCTATTTAGTAAATCATAGAATATCAGGGTTGGAAGGGACCTCAGGAGATCATCTAGTCTAACCCCCTGCTCAAAGCAGGACCAATCCCCAATTTTTGCCTCAGATCCCTAAATGGCCCCCTCAAGGATTGAATTTGGGTTTAGCAGGCCAATGCTCAAACCACTGAGCTATCTCCCCCCCTGTCAATTCCCTCACTGCCCAGTGTTTCCAGCTGGACAGCAGTGGCTCCTGTTTACTTAATGTCTGTGCAGCAGCATTGCTAATGTCAGCACAGCTCATGGAATGGTACTTGCCTATTAACTGATGTTGCTGCAGAGCCAATAGGGGAAGCATACCAAAAAGGGTCAGAGAGAAGGAAACAATCTACCAGAGACAAAAACTCCAACTCTCACCATTTCCCTGCCAGGTCATAGTGGAACTTATGGTAGGCTTTTGTAGTCTGGAGGATTTTTTCTAACAAAAATTTTAACATGGGTAGAAATCAGACCTAAGTAAATTGATGTACCTCTTCAGAGCCTAGAGACAAGCAGACACCTTCAGAAAGGGGCAGTGGGTGTGTTTACAGGGGTGGCATGGAAAGGACAAGGTATTAACATCTCCTGGTGCTGCACTGCCTTTCAAAACAAGTAAGACTACCACTGAATTCCAGCCTCAGCCCCTTCCAGTAACTGGCAGAGGAGAAATCAAACCAGTACTCAGCCTTCAAATGTACTGTGACCCCCAATGGCACAGTGCTCCAAACAGCACTGTGAAGGTAACACTGGGGGAATCACAGGAATATGCGAATTGCCATGCCAGTAAGACTGGGGGTCCATCTAGTCCAGTAGCCAGTCTCTGACATAGTATCTTCAGAGAGAGGTGGAAGAAACCCCTCTACAGTGACTGGCTTATGCCCTAAAGCAAGAGGGCATATATCCCTAGTTTATTTTCTCTCATTATCCTATAAATATTGGATCCTTTTAAAAATCCTACTAAGCAACTGGCCCCAATGAGTTACACAGGTTAATTGTGTGTTGTTACAAAAAAAGTATTTCCTTTGATCAGTTTTAAATTTGTTTCAAGGGCTGTGTTCCTGCTTTGCCACTCCTGCTAACTGATCTTTGCTGCTTAACTGGCTTCAGACCAGAACACAGACATTTGAAGATAAAGTCTAGTTTATCATAGGGCAAGCTGAGAAGAGCACACAAGAATTCCTCCTCCAAATCTACTGACAAGTGTAAGAACTGAGGATCAGCTCCTGGGCTCAGAGCTGAAAAAAGTGTGTGTTCACTTCACTGGAAAAGGGGAAGTGTCCCTGAGGAACAAAGTGTTAGTAAAAACAGACACTAAAGGAGAGTGAAGAAAACAGCGCCAAGGATCTCCAAGGAGCATATGCAGCTATGGCTGCAGTGAGATTTTCAGGCTATGCCAGAGTCAGGGTATTCACTCTGCTTTGCCCAGAACACAGTAAGCAAAATGCAAAGCTTTTCAGTGTTGCATTGCCATCCCCGGAGCATGTCTACCTGGCTATTAAAATACATGCACCCTCATCACCACACAAGGAGCTCTGCCTGAGTTCATCTGCATAGTGGGCCAAACATTGCTCTCACTGAAGCCAGGGGGAGTTTGGCCATTGAGTTCAATGGGAACAGGCTTTGGCCCAATACATTCATATGCGTTAGCAGAACTGATAGCCACTGCATGTCCAGCACACTAAACTGACACAAACAATCCCTATAATAATGGAACTCACCAGACATGCTCTGCTACCCACAGTCACACTATAATATGAAAGAGATGGAATTCTGAAATAAGGTGATATGACAAAAGGAGATTTCAGGTGTAACAAATCCACTGTCTTTCATCCCCATTAATTCTACACCTGTGATCTAATCAGTCCATATTTAAATATTACAAAAGCATAAAGGCTTTAACAATCAAGCTGCCAGTGCTCTTTTCTGGGCTACTAACACACAAAAGAATGGGTAGATGTGATAAAAGGAGACAACACAGAGAGCTCCTCCCGATGGAGAGTGAGTTGCAGCACTTAGAATTCAGCCAGTGGCATGTATGATATACCTACGGAAACCTGCCCCATGGGATTTTAAAACACAAACACAGCAGAATGTCATCATAATAGGCAAAGTCTGTGTCAAAAAATTCTAAGCACACAGCATTTTCTCCAGTTCTGACACCTTTTTAATAGAAATCACTTGTTTAGGAAACAAATAGCACTTTTATAATTTTTACAATGTTTCTTACCTTGATCTTATTTTAAGTAACACTAGGAAGACCTCAATATCTTTTATTTTCCTTTTTCATTTTAAAAAAGTTGTTTTTTCCCAGATACAAAGATTTTGCCCTTGCATAAAAAAACAGTGCCCAAAACGATGACACAAGGACTCACAAAGACTCACTGTATCTCACTGACACTATTACTTCTAATCTATACCATGCAAGGTCCCATCTACCTCTTTAATTAGACTGTCAGCCTGAATAACAGCTTTTCTATTCCTTATTTATTTTTTGTTACCAAAAGAAAGAGAGGAAATGAAAGAAAAGGACATTTCTCTGTTCAGTGCACACATCTGGGTCATGTGCTGCTTTGTTCAGGATATTTTTGTTGTTTTATAAATATAGAAAAGGGTTGGAACCTCATTTTCAAGTAAAATCATTGATGCACATTTTCCCTTGAGACACCCCCTTTCAATGCTTCAACTCAACCATTTTGGTCCCCTCTCCCAACAAAGGCTTCCTGGATCAACTTGAAGATCCAAACCAATCCAATTCTCCAATGCATTTCATTTGTCTAGTGTGAAGAAACAGGGTTAACCCAAAGCTGCCAGGACAGAAAATCCCCAGCCTGCACATGTGCTCGTTACTCGGCGAAAAATCCATCCCCATTTTGTTTTGTACATCTCCTGTCTAAACAATAGTAAATACTGCTTATTTGATATACTTGTCCCCTCTGGGCACTGGGATTTGTTAATTTATACTTCTGTTTTTTGGTTTAATAGTGCTGAGAGTTTAGAAACAGGAAAAGCCCACAGGCTCTTTGGACTTATTTTTTCCCTACCTAAACAAACTGTTCTGCAAATAAGGATTTGAAACCTGCTCTCCTCCCTCATCCCTGCTCCTCACCCCAAACAAAAATAAAACAAACCTATAGTGGCTGTGGAGGCTGCTGCAGGCACACACTGGTGTAAAATATAGAGAGAGTAAATATATTATTTCACTTGGCATGGTGCTGGCAAAGAACCCCCAGCTGGCACTATTCATGTAACATGATCCAAACTTTGCATGTACACACAGAATAAGAAGGATCAATTGGCAAACTCCGGTGCCGCCTGGCACAAGCATCTTCACGCTCTCTCTGGAACCAAAGAACTAAAGAATTCTGCACTTTCCAGAAGAAATCCGGTTTTGCTTTTCTAGAGTTTCATTATTTTGCTGCTCCTCCTCGCCGCCACTTCCCTTGGCTCCTTCTTACTCCACTGTGTTATTTAGTCTCATCGCCTTTGTTACAGTTCACCATGCAGCTCTGGGAAGGGGCTGGGGCTGGGGTGGAGGCGGCAGCATTAGCATTGTTAGTCGAGTCCATGCCGTTGGAGATGGCTACTGAATTGACCTCAGAGTTTATGGATTTTGAAAGGTCAATGCCTTGGATGAGGCGGACCAGCTGTTTTACCTTCTCCAAGGAGCTGTGCATCTCCTTCTGTTTTGCCAGAATGGTATTCTTCATTTCCATACATTTCTGCAGCAAATTAGAACAACAAAAAGCTCAACCATTACACCCATAAGGATAATTAGCGGAATGGAAGAGGCTAAGGAAAGGAATTTAGATGTCCATCAATCCAAGTATAGGCATCTAGCAAGGAGGAGAGTTCCAGAAACGGCTGCACCTGGAAGTTCACTTTCCCAGCTTGGAGGAACCTCAAAGCTGCACACACAAATTACTTAATATTTACAGACAGATAAGTTAAATTGCCAGCAGGTAACTATCACCTGCTCTGCCTCCATTTAAGTCATTTCCCTTATAGATTAGGAAATCACCAGAGATGCCTCCATCCTATTGTGTTTCTTCTGGAGGAAAATATGGGGTTAATGTCCAGCTGAAACTAGCAAGTTTTTATTATTTTCTATTAGTATTTCATTTCTGAAATTCCTCCAACTCAGATCTGAAAATGCAGGCATCCTATAGGAGCTGACTTTGTGGAGAGCACATATGTCCTGCTTATGGGATAGAGCCTTGCTTTCACATACTGTTTTGCCTATTTTAGCAGAAACATCATTCCCTCCCCATAAATAAAAAGGGGGACTTGAAGAGAAAGATGCAGTGCCCTCTTCATTTAAAAATCTCATTTTGGGGCCATTTTTTTCTGCATGTTACAAAAAAAATCAAGACGCTCTGACAACAGGCAAGGCAAATTAGCTTAACCACTTTATGTCAGGAGCCCATGGTTGAAACTCTCTAAAAGAAAAAGGAGAAGGCAGCCAATACCTTCTCTATGGATGTGGTTCAATTTAATGATGTATAAACCACATAGGCCCCAACAGATGTCCTGCAGGAAGATGGTATCTTTTTTTAAAAAGTTTTGAAGCCTTTTGTCTACATTGATCTTCAAACCCTCCTGGTCTGAGTCCAACTTTTAACATATATATGATAGCAGCAGAAAAACCACCACCATAACTGGAAATAATTGGCCCCATGTTGGCAGTTTGAGTTAAGAGGTAAATAATGAGTCATCCATGGAGAGTGAACTGCCTTCTTCACCTATAGATAGTCCTTCTAGGTCAGGACTGAAGCACATCAGCGAGTGGGTGCTGCCCATACGCATCGCTTGAGAACACATGCACTGCTGCTTGCCAGGCCAGGCCAGCCTAGCCTTCTGGTGATAAAGAGAACATTCTAGTCCCCAAAGCTGTTAATCCAGCACCTTTCACCACTATGATATTTACTTTCTTAAAAGGATACATGTAGCCTTTTCATATATATTATTTATCTGAGTTATTCTACTGTGTTCAGTATTAGATGTCTTTGGACATCAGACACCTTATAAATACTTTTTTAAATAGAAAAAAAAACAAATCCCAAAGTGTGTGAGGGTGAGTACAGTGAAATACACTAGAACTGTATGATGTCATAAATGTTGGCTATGGAACAGAACTTAGCATTTACAGTTCTCTGATATTATCATGGGACCTCCTGAGGGGCTCATGTTTATATGTGGTGACTTAGGAGTCCAGCTTGTGTGTTATTGTGAAAGAAAGTTACATGCTAACACACAGGTTCTAGTTATTACGGTTACAAAACAAGGTGGAAAACATGGTTTCTGGTTAGGGGGAAAAAGTGTGGCAAGGTGTAATTAACATTAGGCGGGGCACCCGAAGTTTGCCCAAATGAAGACTGCCTTGGAAACTCATCAGGAACCTGAGGGCCAAACCTGTGAGTAACATGGAGACCACGGCAGTTGCTTTCATTTTAGATATAACGGGGCCGTGCACCAAGGCTGTAAGTCCCACCATGCAATTTGGCCTACTGAGTGAGAATAAAATGAAGCATCAGATATTAGGACCTGTAGCTACTTAGGTTGCTCCTCTGTAATAAAAATAAGAGCCATAGAGTCCATATAAATCTCCATGGGTTGTGTTTGTCAACTGTTGGTATTATGGGTTACTGTACATCTGCAAGATACAGCTAGCATAAGTTCATTTAGCTGTACTTTAAACATCCAAAATATCCAAAGGGCAGGAGAAAGAGCAAAGCTCAAATAGAAGCTTACCCAACTCCTACTGACTTCTATGGAAATTGGATCAGGCCTACAGTAGCAGTCTCCAGACTTATGCTCCGCCAGCTTGCATGGTGCTAGAATGAAAGGACTACAGAGAACAAGTGTAGCATTACAGCTGAGAAAAATACTTACTGTTATGGAATTGCTGAGCTGTTTGACCTTCTGCTCTAGTTGTTCTCTTTCTTGTTTTAAATCTGAACTCCATTTAAGTAGCTTCTGTTTCTCCTCTTCTTTTGCTGTAAAAGGGAATAATAACCCTCTCAGTGATGAATATTTAAAGAGTCCCTGTTATGCCCTTCAGATGGAGTCTCTAAGCTACTTCACACAATGGACACATTGGATCATACTGAAATTGTACCTGCCTAAAGTGAAGAGTCACATGAAGCTTTCACAAAGTAGTTGGACTGCCCTTTTCACATTATTACTTGGGTTGTCAAGGGTTTTCCCCCTTAATTTCCTTTTTAAAACAAGTCATACCCAATACCATTCCCAAAATAACATTTTACAAACATGAAAGCAATGCAAAGGTGTTCTCTCTTTTCCTACCTGCTTTGTATGCAATATATGAATGAACAATTGCTAAAGTCCCTGGCCATGGGATTGCTTCTTCCTTCTTCAGCATCTGAAAGAAAAGAGTGTGTACATTTAACTGGCACACATTTTACCTCTGGGAAAGGGAGAAAGAAAAAGGGAAGAGACAAAAAGAGAGGGTGAGACAAAAGAATTTATTTCATGGCTATCATTAGGCACAACCTGTTAACATAATGCCTTGCAATCCTGTTCCGAGGTTCAACAGAGGGAATTATTTGCATCTATATTATAGCCTCCACAACAGAGGCTGATTTATCACAAATGTCAGCATTTTCTCACGACACGTAACAGGTTAAAGAGGAATTAAAAGACAACGTATCTGATCTCAAACTTGCCAGGGGACAGGAACATGGCTTCATGGCTCAGACAAACTGCTGATCTAAGTTGTTCCTGGAAGAAATCCTCTGATGGCACAGAACAGCCTCTGCACCACACATATGAACTTCACACTTTCGAACAGATAAGACATGACACTTTCCCATCTCCACCTGCTCGCAGGATCACATTACTGGTGTTGCCAAACCCTCCTCATAAGGATAAGCATCATACTTATCTTTAAGAGGATAAAAAGATTCCCTCTTAATATACCTTATTTAGGGAGGAAGAATGAAGCTTGGTAGCTCACCAGAGGAATGACCCAGGGGACTGAGGCTGGAGTCACGCTAAAGCAAAATGTCTCTGACACTTCTAAATTTATTTTCTGGTAACTTTTCAGTAAAACAAACCGGTAGGGGTAGGCGGGTGGGGGGGGGGTGTGAGAGAAAGGAAGGCTATGCCCCCTCCTCCTTCAGCTACAACCATGTTGAGTAATTTAATCTACTGGGATTTTTTGTTTGTTTTTTTGTTGTTGCATTATGTAACATGCATGTGGAAATGCCAGGTTGTTTTCTTATGTTATCATCTGGTTAACAGAGGCTCACATGGACTACTAAGGCACTCTCTTAGGTAAGACAGTATGTTAATAGCTTTTGGCTGCTGGCTTAACAGCAATCCATTGTAATTCTTGAAGTTCCAAAATAGGGGAAATGAAAACAGCAATTTATTTCTTTATCTTGTAATATTTATGCCATTAATGGATGAAATATCATCTCATTATTCCAATCCATTTGTATACTTTTACAGAGAGATTTTGAGGGAAGAAGGTCCAAATCATTCATCGATAGTCATTATTCTGATATCGAATGTATCACGAAAGAGAACAGGAATGACAACCTCTCTAATGTTTGGGTTTTACCAGGAAGCACTGGCTCAGTATTTTCTCTCTCTATTAAGGGTAGGCTTGTGCAAATATCCTATTCACTTTGGACAAAGAACTACCACCTTTCAGAGAAATTCTGAGTAAAAAAATCTACAGGAAAATCCTTATGGGTCATAGAGAACCTTTCCCAAAAGTTTGTGTGCTTTGCCCCAGAAAAGCAGAGTTGAAACACAAGGGTAACACAAAAGGACCCTGAGTCTGGAAGCACAAAAGTAAGACTTAAAGGCTTAGTATTTGTGAGCATTCGAACAGTGGCAATTTGATGAAATTCACACAAGCCTAATTACAGATCAAATAGATTTGCTCAATGTCAGGCTGTTCCAATCTAACTAAGCCAAGTGATCAGGTTATTTTCTTTAACTCGGAAAATCTTTGTAGTGCACTGTGTGTAACTCCCTATCTTTCAAACAATACCTGGTCTTGACATTTGGGACAGATCCACATGCCCTTGGGAATGGTTTTCAGAGGTGGGTCCAGACAGTCCAGGTGATACACACGTGAACATGTGTCACACATCAGCAACTGCCCGCTTTTCCTGCAAACACTGCAAAAATCCTCATGGATATCGCCCTATAAAATTGAGGGAAGGGGGTGAGAAAGAAGAAGGCAAAAAGTGAACTTTGACCTTTGACATCTACATCCTAGTTGAATGTAAACTCTTCCGCACAAGCTATAGCTATGGGATTCCATATGGCTAAGTTCTTTTTAGGAGGTGTAACTGGAAAACCAGCGAAGATGACAGAAGTACAACTCCCTCTGCCCTCCCCAGGTCAGAGGCCCTAGTGAACATTTGTTACCACAGCCTCTAGTAACAATCCCCACCCCACCATCCATCTTAGTTAGGAAGATTTTCAGTGGTTTTAGCCTGCACTGGTAAGATACCCACTTTCCTTGGTCCTTCTAATCTTTGGATGTAAGCACAGCTCCATGTGGGGAGCATACAAATGAGGTTGCCTCATGTCCACAGTCTTTCCTAAGAAACCCACAGAGGGCAATACTGAACTTTAAAACAACACCAGCAAGTATTTAGAGCACATATGTGACATCTTTTCAAACTGTTACAGTGAAAGAGAAAAGTGCTCTGATTTGTAAATTAAAAAGAATGGACCCAATTCATCCCTGAGGTAACTCCTTTAACTTCACTGAAGTTACATCAGGATACATTTAGCCCATTATATTTTAAAAATCCATCGCCCCAGCGTCACAATGACTACTGATTTCTACTTCATCATTAGCCCAGGGCTGTGAGGAGCAGAACGAGGGGATATCAAGAGTTCATACAACCAAGAGGGAAAAAATGTTATTTTCAGCCATAAGAGGCTTTCACAAGGAACGGAAAAGTTAGTAGACAGTGTCCTTTTAAAAATCTATGTTTTACTATTCTTGCATTATTAGTGGAGGCACTTCCTTTCCCCAACTATTCACGCCCCAATGACCCTCCCCCACAATGCAAAATTCATGGCAAGGTTAGGTTTGTTTTTCTCTCTTTATTCCCCTCTCTCTTTCCTCCCATCATTCCCATCTCATGCTTTTGTGATTTTTAATAAGTAGATGTTTGAACAGAAGAACACACAAGGAAAACACCCAAACTCTACCCTTTATCCACCTGCGGGCTGCTCTGGCAATGTGCCACACCTAAGACCCAATGTCTCAAGCCCTCGGCACGCGCAATTTCCATTGAATTCAATGATGTTCCGTACACACAACGCTTATAGAATCTTAACCCTAATTTGTCTAAAATGAAGCAAATTGTAGCTGCATGCCTCTTTAGTATGAAATATTGGGGCATGAAATGTTCCATTTTGACTTGAGTAGCCTGTTCACATGTTGGAGGAGTTTTGCCATTTTAGAATCATGCTAGACTTTGCCTCGCTCCTATATAGTATGTGGCTGGGCAAGAAAAAGTGGATTTTTTCTTTATTAGCGATAATTAGGGCCCTACCAAATTCACAATCCATTTTGGTTAATTTCACAGTCATAGGATTTTAAAAATCATAAATTCCATGATTTCAGCTATTCAATCTGAAATGTCAGGTGTTGTAATCGTAGGGGTCCTGACCCAAAAAGGAGTTGTGGGTGGAGGGGGGTTGCAAGGTTATTACGGACGGGAGGGGGTTGCAGTACTGCTACCCTTACTTCCGCGCTGGTGCTGACGGCAATGCTGCCTTCAGAGCCGGGCAGGTGGAAAGTGGCGGCTGCTGGCCGGGAGCCCAGCCCTGAAGGCAGAGCCACTGCTAGCACCAGCGCAGAAGCGAGGATGGTTTGGTGTCGTATGGTACGGCCACCCTTACTTCTGCGCTGCTGCCTGCAGAGCTGAGCCCTCAGCCGACAGCCGCCACTCTCCAGCCGCCCAGCTCTGAAGAAAGCGCAGAAGTAAGGGTGACAATACCACAACCCCCCTAAAATATCTTTGTGACCTCCGCTGCAACTCCCTTTTGGGTCAGGACTCCCAATTTGAGAACCGCTGGTCTGCCCTATGAAATCTGTATAGTATAGGGTAAAAGCACAAAAAAGACCAGATTTCACGGGGAGAGACCAGATTTCACGATCTGTGACACATTTGTCATGGCTGTGAATTTGGTAGGGCCCTAGGGATAATGTATTAAATGCATGCAGCAAGAGATCCACCATATTTTCAAAGAAAATCACACACAAATACAGTCTGCTGAGGTTTAACTTTCAGACTCCATGACAGATAAGTCTCACTCTATCGGGAGCTGCTCTTCGTCTCTTAACTCCCAAGGCTAACACTGCTGTCCTGTTTTCTAAAGGGTCAATCTTTCTTGAAGCTCAGTGTCATCTTTTGATTCCATAACTTCCATGAATCAAATGAGTGTTGGGTTCTGAGATCATTTAATCTTTAATACTAAAGAGAGTTCTTAAATGTTAATTGAAGAAGCAAATTAGTGAGATTTCATGCCTCCCTTGAAATGAAATTTGTGTTGCTGGGAAGAGCTTCCTTTTCCTTTTTCCTGCATTGTGTGAATGCATAGAAGGAAAGAAGGCAGACAGGAAACAAGATAAAGGCAAAGAGAAAATCCTCTGCAATCCAGTCTTCAAAGGAAACTCATCCTAGAGCCTTTTGAATTCTATGTTAATGCATGTCCCAATCTTGTGATGCACTGAACATCCCCAACTACCACTGAACACAATGGCAATTGAGAGCACTCTGCATGTTGCTGGGGCGATCAGTATCTTTCAGGATGAGACCCATTAAACACTGGAGCATCTGATATCCTGCAGAATCAGATCTAAGCAGATGATTTCCTTAATCTCTCAGGCACGTATCAGTTGCTCAACAATTCAGGTTTAGAACTTCTAAATTCAATGGAATGTTGAGTGATGATTCATGTAACAAGATGGGTTAATGTGCGAGGTATTAATTTTCTAGTAATACTCCATATGTACCAACTGGAATGGATACACACACACACACACACACACACAAATCCATAGTTCTATTTTCATCTTATCAAGGCAATAATGCAATAGTGCAGAGCATTTTGTGGGAATTAATAACAAGTGGTGGATGGTTCCTGAACTCCCCCTCAACCAGGATTTAATTTCTAGGAACTGTCCCATGTCTTATTTGTTGTTAATAAATATATGTATAATATGGGCCAGATTGTTGTGATATGTCCCCTCTACATTGCTACACTCTGGCTACAGGCTTCTGAAACAGCTCTGAGTGGCCATAAGCAGCCTAGTGTAATGCATGCTGGAGGCTGAGAAGGCCTGAAGCTGGCCCCAGAATAGGGGAAGCACAAAAGGTAACAAAGTCACTTTTGGCCTCACCTCCTCTGTTCCTACTGTAGCCTAGACAGAACAAAAAATCAACCCTAAGCTCTTCAGGGCAGAGACTGGGTCTTTTTTATGTTTGTACAGTATCTAGTACAATGGGGCCCTGGAATTTAGGTATCACTGTCAAAAAAAATAAATATAACAACCAGCACTATATGTACATGTGTGTGTGTAATCTCTATATTTAGATATATCTATATCTATCTATCTAGACAGAAGATAGATATTACATCATAAAAAGCCTGTGGGAAAAAAGAGTAGGTGACCATGTATTTAAAGACAGCATTATTATGCCTATGCACAAAAGGGCTGAATTAAGGTTGTACTGGCAACCTTAATTCTTACGTCCCCTAACATTTGAGGGCTTGCCTTTGCAAATTGAATGAACATTGTTGTTTGGATGTAATTTCCCAAGTTTTTAAAAAACGTAAAAACTGAAAGATATAATTGTCATCCTGTGGTACCATACTGACTCCCACACGTGGGTCATCACCATGATTGGGATATTTAGATCCACAGCACAGCCCTATATCACTTCAGCTAACAGTAACTGGTAGCAATAGATGGCTGTTTTCTTCTAAGCAGACCTGACACTAGAGTGGCATGGAGACACATGCATTGCCAGTGGATTTTAGAGCTATTTACTAGACATCATAGGAATGTCGAGACTCCAGAATAATGGGATTAATTCCAGGTTCTTTAGGAGAGTGCACTCAAGTGATTACAGATCTCTCTGTCCCTTCCACTCCTTTCTCCCTCTGCCTCAATCTTGCTCCGGCTCATCTTGCCCTCCCCCAGCCCAGCTTCTGCCTCTCTCTCCTACCTCTTGTTCCTACTCCCATGACCCTCATCGTTGCCCCTCCTTCCCCCGCTCTTGTGCCTGTACCCTCTCTCCTGGCTCCTGCTCCTAACTCTGTTCCTTCCTAGGCTCTTATCCATCCTCCCAGGCAGAGGTCCTGCCCTTGTCTCCACCCTCTGCATCTCTTCCCCTCCAGCACCCTATTCCTTACCCTGCTGCACTCAAGTCAGTTTGTCTCCTTCCTCTCCTCCAAACTGCCTGTGTGCCAGCAGAGATAGCATGGACAGCACAGGAGAGTCTCACTGCCCTCAGTTCTGGTGCCTGGTATCACAGGTACTCCTGGAACCTGGGAGCAGCAATCGCAGTAAAAGTCCTACTTGGCCTCGGGATGGAGCATGACTAGTCACTCTGCATGTGCAGTCTAGTCAACTTGTAGAAGATGTGAGGGGATGGAACATGCTCAGTGTAGCTGGATTCATCAGAGAATTTTGCTGCCAAACGGTAACAAGCCTCTACTGAGAATGTGCAAACAGATTTTTCACAGGCATATAGTGTGGCCAAATTTGGGGGGATTTTCACACAGATGTCAAAAGGCAAATCCCTGACTCAAACGCCATACCCATGCTAAATTTCAAGTCCCTGCTCCAAAACATGGATGCAACAAAACAGTTATCAAAAATTTTTTTAACTTGGGCAAAACAAGTTATTTTCCTTAATTTTGTTTTGTTAAATAGCTGAACTGTTTCATGTGAAACTTTAAAAAAAAAATTCAACTTGAGTTAGACACCCATCATGGAAAGTTTCAGCCCAAGTGGTTTAAATTTGGCAAAACTGTCAGCAACTGAAAACAGAGTCTTAAAATGGAAAGCATTGGGCAACCTGCACCACTTATAATAAATATAGATCTTTATAAGCTAGCACCATTCTCCGAGTATCCAAGTATATCTTGTGTTGAATATCTAATTAGTAG